GCCATCTTTTTCTTTGGAGCTTCAGGGCTGCCACAATTAGTGCCTGGGAAAATGGGAGGGGGGGATTGAAGGAGTCGGTGGAGAATTAGCCATAACAACATTCCTTTCTTCTCTGGGAGTCAAGGGCACTTGGCCTGCGCCTGGATGGGAGCAACTGGGGGTTCTCTCCAGTTGGGACAATGAAATGATTGGGACATGTGATGGACTTGTGGGTGCAGGGGATGGATCTTTGACTTTCTTTTGGGTGGGGAAAATCTGGAAACTCTCAGATTCGGGTTTTCTCAAATGGGCCAAAAACGAAACTTTGAGGAAACTCAAGGCTTGGAGTCTTCTTTCATTGGGGGTGTTACTTGGAACCCTGACATTTTGCTTATCAGAAGGTCACAAAAGGTGGTCACATGATGTCGGGACACAGTAATGGTTGTAAATATGAACTGGTTCCCAAAAATCTGAATTTTGATCACATGATCATGGGGATGCTGCAAAAGTTCTAACTGTGAAAAACCGTCATAAGTCACATTTTTCAATGACGTTGTTACTTTGAACGGTCACTAAATGAACTGTTGTAAGTCAAGGTCTAGCTGTATTATAAAGGCGAGGAGAAGGGTGCAAATCCTCTCAACTCCTTTTTATTCTACTTCAGAAGTGGACCACCTTCTTGAAAGCAAAGCTTAAATATTTGACCTGTGGGGAGGAGGGCAATCAAGAGTTATAATAGGAGCCTTAGGTCTTACAGGAACATAACATCATCCCTTAAAGCCTCATAAAAGGTGAAAGACACTGACATTTTAAGAAGCAAAAAGAGTGCTTAACAGTTGCAAAAAGGGACCCACACATAGCCATAGATCACCTCTCTCTCATTACCTCAGATCATGCAAGTGGTGGATTGATGCTTAGCAGGGGTCAAAAAATGAAGATGATGCCCACAATTGTCAATCAAACCCTTGCCCTTTTTTATGCATGTTTGACCCCTTCCCTTCAGACATCCCTAATGCCTAGAGAGAAAATGGAGCATTATAGTGGAGTACATGTGGATAAATGACAACAGCAACTGGGTAGGAACAAGAATGGATGAGGCGCAGATCACTAGAACAGGCTAAAATGTACTGGTGGCAATGGTGAGAAGAATGGATAGAGGAAGCATGATTGAAAAATGGCAAAGGGGAGAATTTATTTTATGAATTGTCTGCAGATCTGGCAGAAAACTGGGACAACCACATTAGTGGTTGAGTTTGGTTAAGTGGTTTGTTGTAGTGCCACCAAAAAACCTACCCTTTATTGTGGGGCCAAATAGGGTGGGTAAAAAATTCCAGATGTTGACTGTGTCATGTGATGAACTCACAGCCCCACCTCTTTTTATACCTGTCCATCACAAAGACCCAGCTGTCATTTTGACTTTTCCCAACTCTATCTCCTCTTGAACAGGGCTGCCCACCTATAAACTTGAAATTGCATCAACAATTGGTAGATGAGTCACAGGAATCTTCACGAGATAAGAGTGCATCTGTTCAAGTCCCTGGCATACGTGCCTGGATACCATTTGAAATGTTCTTCATGGGGAACATTTCCTACAAGCAAAAAATCCAGCCCCGCAGAGCCATTGTAGGTTCTTCTAGACTAGAGATGCTAATCTGTTCTTGCAGAGATGCTTTTAAAAAAAATTAATGTAGAGAAATGGCATCCCCTCTTGAACTCAGAAATAATACAAAAGTCAGTCAGTTCATTCCCTCCACATGTCGCTGCATGTGTAATCCAGCCATGTGTCATCACCTAGAGCAGGAGTCTCCATCCTTGGCAACTTCAAGGCACGTGGGTTTCAACTCCCAGAGTTCCTCAGCCACCTGGCTGAGGAACTCTGGGAGTTGAAGTCCATATGCCTTAAAGTTGCCAAGATTGGAGACCCCTGACCTAGAGGGCATGTTCCTGCCTGGCACTAAAAAGAGGCATCAGGTCAAATACAAGTCTCTGTTGGCTTCCTTTCTAGGCATCTCCTTCTTGTCAAAGTCAACAAAACCAACAACCAAACCATAAACAGTAATTATTATGAATGAAGGCAAATATAGGTGTCCTAGCATAACGTTGCAAGACGCAATCTGGGTTAGTCACTGGGACCAGAGATTTAGTCTTCCAAGCTATTGGATTCATGCTTGAATCCATCCTCAGGGAATTTCTCTCCACCAGAATGTGCACAAGTCCGAAAGCTGGTAAGAACTCTGGTCCCCAGATTGGAGCCTGCAACAGTAATTATTATTTTTAGGAGCATGTATCCACTACTCATTGTGAAACAGGGTTAGAAGGCAGATTTGGTCCAGAAAAATCAGGATGACATTTGTCACTCAACCAATGGGTCTAATAAAGTTTTCATCTCATTCTGTTCTACCCTATAAGCTTGTTGTAAGTCCCATATCCTTGGCCTTACTGCAGAGACTGGCATACAATATTCCCATTTTTTAAGAAATACTGTTGAGTAGCCACCATTATAAGCTTATTGTAGGTCCCATATCCAGACTTGACCAGGTCCCATATCCAGACTTGACCTTTCCTCAGAGACTGGCATACAATATTCCCATCATTTAAGTAATATTGGTGAACATCAACAATAGAGTCCAGCTTCCCACAGGCATTACTATCCTCATGATTCCCATTCTGCAGACCTTCAAGGAGATTTTCTGCACCCCCCCCCCATGAGGATGGTTTGTCCCATGTCATGCCAGACGTGGCTTCCCTGAGTTATGGCAGCAACAAGCAGGGAGCACAGGAACCCCTGGCAGATGTGTGTTTCCTTTACAGATAAGGAAATAACCAGGTTCAGTTGCCATCAAGATAATTAGGGAAGGGGAACCAAATGTTTCAAAGGAGGGGGAGCAAATGGGTTAAGTTTCGTTTTTCATCCCCAGCCAAGCTGGGGGGTGGGGGGGTGGCAGCGATGGTGTGTGATTTGGCATGAAATTTCCCTCATTTCCATTGGTTGGAGAATACCACCACCAAACTCTTCCATCTTCACCAGAACCTAACCTGCCAAGTTCCCTGCCTTCTTGTATTGATTTGTTTTTATTATTATTATTATTGAATTTATATCCTGCGGTTTTTTTCCCACGTGCGATCTCCAGGAAACTTTCCTAGAGATTCTGCCGGTGAGTTTCAAAGAAGGAACCGAGGTTTTTTTTTAAAAAAAATCTTTGACGAAGTTTTCCCAAATTGTTCCAGCCACACACCCAAATTCACGGTGGTTCGGGCTCCAAACCACGAAGCCGAAGCAAAGGCAAAAAGCTTTCAATCGGCATTCGACGCAATGGGCGTCCCAATAGCTACAAACCGTTAAATGTGTCCGCTAATAGTCATAATTCGCATCAAACTTTTCCCCCCCACCTCTGCAAATTTCTAGGTTTAGTTTTAGTAATCAGGCAGTGGATTTTTAACAGAAAGAAAGAGAAAACTTACTAACTCCTGGTATTAATTTTGCCTTGGAGTCTGGCATTTTTTCTACATCCAAAACATTGGTGGGGGGGAGCGCAGAGGTGGGAGGGGGCTTCTGAAACATTATGTCCCAATTCCTCTTTCCACGCACCTCCTGTTGCTTCTACACACACCCCACTCGCACCCTCCGATTTTTAGGAAGCGAACAAAAGGCTGCGAAGACCGACCAGAAAGCCAAAATGTTTGATCCAGCGCAGAACCAAGGCGGAAGGGAAAAATGGAAAGGCAAACTTGGATAACGAATTGAGTCTGGGGAGCAGGAAGGGGGTATATGCTATGCCTGGTTGGGGGGAGAGAGAGAGAGAGAGAGAAAGGGGAGGGGGCGAGGCTAGAAGGGACCGATCGATGGACCAGCCAATTTGCGGAGGTGGAATAAACAGGAGAAGACGGAGGGAGTCATGAAAAGAAATCCAAGGCAACGGAAAAGAAGAAGAAGAAGAAGAAGAAGGGACGGGAGGGAAAGGGAGACAGAAATAAGTTTTGGAGAAGAACCTGTAGCAAAAGTATAAGGAGTGCGGCTCACCCGATAGACGTTTTCGGTCAGCCGGTTCACCTCTTCCGAGCGGGACATGATGATGTCTGGGCGGTCAGGGAGCGCCAGGGGCCTGGACGAGCGCGCTGGAAAGGAGGTGGGGCGGGGTGAGAGCAAGGGGAGGGTCTAAAAGTGGGGGGCGTAAAGGAAGGGGATAAGCAGCCGGATCCACCAGGGAGCAAAAAGTCAAAAGCGGCGCCGATCTCAGCTGTGTGCTCTGCACGCCGACCCAACAGAGGTTTAGGTCTGCAGACTTGGCCTGCAAACATACGGATGGCCACTAGTGGCGCTCCAGATGTTTGCAGCCCGGATCTGAGAACCTTAACATGTCCTGCTCCAATGAAGTAGGGGAAAGCGGATCAACCACTCCCCGAATCTACAAAGAGGGCCAACGTGTGTGCGCCAGTCTATACATACTTGATAATAAGTTTCCTGGCTATGCTGGAAGTCTGTAGTGCGACGGTTCTCTACCTTGGCAGCTTGAAGATGTGTGGGTGGGGAATTCTGGGAGTTGAAGTCCAGGCATCTCCAAACTGCCAAGGTTGAGCAACGGTAAAGGTTCCCCTCCCACATATGTGCTAGTTGTTCCCGACTCTAGGGGTGCTCATCTCCGTTTTAAAGCCACAGAGCCAGCGCTGTCCAAAGAGGTCTTCATGGTCCTGTGGCCAACATAGCTAAATGCTGAAGGCACATGGAGCACTGTTACCTTCCCGCCAAAGGTGGTTTCAATTTTTCTACTTGCATTTTTACACGCTTTCAAACTGCTAGGTTGGCAGAAGCCGGGACAGCACTAGAGATTCAAACCACTGAACTGCCAACCTTCTGATTAACAAGCTCTGCATCTTAGCCACTGAGCCACCATATCCCTGGTTGAGCAACGGTGCTGTAGAGCAAAATTGACTTTCTCTGAGAGAGCTTACATGCTTACAAAAAGTTGCTAATGGCTACAGGCAATGGTTCATCACCACCATCATTCCAGCCATTGTCTATCCACTGTAGGATGAAGGCCTCTTCTGCAAGTTTCCAACCAATATGTTCTTGAGCTTTTCTTTGCCAGTTGGGCCCACAATACTTGCTGATGTCATTCCTCCGTTTTGTTTTAGGTCTCTTTCATAGACACTTTTTATCATGTGGGATCCGTGCTATGACTGTCTTGGTCTGTCTGCTATCCATTCTTCTTGTTATATGATCAGTCTATTCACATTTCAATTCTTTTACTCTTTTGATGCCATCTTATGTTTTTATTATAGGATAACGCAGGGGTCGCCAAACTTAAACAGAGCTATTTGGACACGTTTCCCACAGAAAACAAAATACCGGGAGCCACAAAAGTCCTAACTGGAAGCCCCCTGTTCAATTCTAGAGCTGACCGGAAGTTCAGTTCCCCCAACCTAGAGTTTCCTTCTAGCGTGGCGTACTTTTTCCTCTATCTGTCATAACCGAAAGCCCTATCAATTGTGGAGACAACTGGAAAACCCTCTCCTTGCCATAGAGTCTTCTCCTGGCGCACTTGACTCCCCTCTCCCCTGTGGAAGCTCCTCTCAAAATTGTGGCACCTACCAGTCAGTGGTGGGTTTCAAAAAATTTTGGAACCTACTCTGTGGGTGTGGCCTCCTTTGTGGGAGTGGCTTGCCGGCCATGTGACCTGGTGGGAGTGGCTTGCCGGCCATGTGTTTTCTTTCTTTCTTTCTTTCTTTCTTTCTTTCTTTCTTTCTTTCTTTCTTTCTTTCTTTCTTTCTTTCTTTCTTTCTTTCTTTCTTTCTTTCTTTCTCTTTCTTTCTCTCTCTCTCTCTTTCCTTCTTTTGTCTCTCTGTCCCTTTTTTCTTTTTTCTTTCATCTCTCTCTCACTTTTTCTTTCTTTCTTTCTTTCTTTCTTTCTTTCTTTCTTCCTTTCTTTCTCTTTCTCTCTCTCTCTCTGTGTCAGTCTGTCTGTCTGTCTGTCTGTCTGTGTGTGTGTGTGTGTGTGTGTGTGTGTAGCAGTGGTGGGTTTCAAATTTTTTTGGAACCTCTTCTGTAGGTGTGGCCTGCTTTCTGGGTCCACTGGTAGAACCTCTTCTAACCGGCTTGGTAGATTTGACGAACCGGTTCTACCGAATAGGTGCGAACTGGTAGGAACCCACCTCTGCTACCAGTGATGAAGCTGCAGCAGATGGAGGAAAGAGCCACATCTAGGGATCCAGGGATAACAAAAGGATAATGGTTATCCACCTATGTAGAAAGGGTTTCAACCTTTTCCCAAAAGAACAAGCAAACTATGCAAATCCAGAACCTCACATGTCACTATCTTGACAGATAAACTGATTTTTTTTTTAAAAAAGAGGAGTTTGTAAATCACTCCATCATCTGGAGGGGTCAGCATCCTCTCTGATGGGGCCAGGCACAAGAAATAGGATTGAATCCTACCTGGGCTACATAGGGATTGACTTGCGGTTCTCCATAAACAATATCAGATTATCAAATTAACGAAATAAAATGCATACCTGTGCTGTATTATAAAAGACAGACCTTTATTTCAAAAAGCTGCCCTTTGGGTTCCTTTTGGTTCTTTATTTTTTCCATATGAATGTTACCAGGTTATGCATAGCCTTTCACAATCATGTGAAAAAATATGGACACTGAATTGTGTGTTTAAAATAATTTTACCTGTACTTGTTTGATTTTAGAATTTATTTATTTTTATGTATCCTACCTTTATTAGTTTTACAAATCACTCAAGGTGGCAAACATACCCAATACTCCTTTGTCTGCCTATTTTCACCAACAACTAACAAAAAATAGGAAGAGAAAGGGTTGTTGTTGTTGTTGTTGTTATTCCCTTTTATTCATTAAACATAAAAATCAGTCAACCGAGCATTTAAAAATGTGTCACAAATACCATTGACTGGTGCTAATGGTTGATACGAGTTGCTGCCAGCGTCCTATGGATCAACCAAGTATTTTCTTAAAATATATGATGTTCGAGTAGGACAGTTTTTTGCAGTTCTGCTGGTATTATTGCAGGAAGCTGCAATTTCTTGATGTGTTTTGTAAAATTCTTGGACATGGTACCAAGTGCCCCGAAGACAATGGGTATCACTGTTACATGTTTCATCCATAGCCATGTAGTTTCGATGGCCAGGTCGCAATATTTCATATTTTTTCCAGTTCTTTTTCTTCTCCTCTGGCATCTCCTGGTACAGCGATATCAATGAACTGTACACTTCGGCCCTCGGCAACTATGTTGTGTTCCAAATGACAATCCGTCTGTATTTAAAAGTCCCACAAGATCTTCACCATACCATTTTCAGTGACTTTTTCCACTTTGTGCTACCATGACTTATTGTTGTTGTTGTTGCTGCTGTTTTTATACAATTTTGCTCTAAAATGCTCCTTTGTAAAGCAAAATAATAAACATTAACAATTTTCCTTATCCCCATGAACCCCTTTTCAGGTTTCCCCTTTACTTGTTCCCAGAAAATATGGTCACCACAAATAGCCACCACCATTGAAAAGCACCAATGAGTATAAATCACTAAATTTGTTGACTAAAACAAACAAAGGAAATTGACTCCCTGTCTGCCTCTCTCCCCCAGTCTCCTTGCCCAGCTGGAGAGCCTTGGGAAAAGAGACTCCTATAGCGGGTTACTTATCACCTACAATATTTTCTGTGCTGGCAAATGGCCTTGGGGAGAGGCCCACAATGTAAACCATGAAGTCCTACTGTTTTGCCCCTCCCCCCCCCCCCCCCCCGCAAGTGGTGGGTGCACTGCTGGAGAGAAAAATGAAGGAGAAGGACCTCCTACTTGCATTTCTACCTCTCAGTAGAAATGATGGTGGGGCAGTACTTCCTAGTGGAGCACACTGAACTGTGTGTTTAAAATAATTTTACCTGTACTTGTTTGATTTCAGATTTTGTTTATTTTCTTTTTTATCCTACCTTTATTATTTATACAAATCACTCAAGGTTGCAAACATACCTAATGCTTCTGCCTATTTTCACCAACAATTAACGATAAATATAAGGTGACCAGATTTTCAGATTGGTAAAGAGAGACACCATTGACCGGGGGGGGGGCGGAGG